GAGCCAAACCTCTTCTCAGAATCTAAGCATACGTTGTTTCTAAGCAACGATAGATGGCAGCCCCCTCTTTAGAAAATGATGGTGAAAGCAGAGTTGGGATCATAATGTCGAAGAGCTCTAAGACGTCGATGCAAGCATGTAAACCAATATCTGACCGTGTGATAATGGTTCGATTCAAGAGTAAGGCAAGACACGTCACCACAATACAGTGTTACGCGCCAATGAAGGATGCTGAAAATACTGTGAAAGATGAATTATACGCACAATTAATGAAACTCGGAGAGGAGACGTCATAATTATTTTTGAATAAATTTAACAATGGGAAGTCATGGATGTGGATTTAGAAATAATAACGACTTATAAAACTTTGTCAAAAATTCCACCTAGTTCTTGCTGGCTCCATTTTCCCACACAAGGGATTGATCTCCCAATATTTGAGGTCTTTCGTGATTTCGACATTAGGAGACGGATTTTTATTCTGATCAAGATATTTCAATATTTGCCTCTTTTGTCTTACAATAAGAAAGTACAACTGAAAATGGGGTATTTCGTTTGAATATTCTGGAGTCAAGTTGTACCAAAACCTTTATTTGATATTATAACATATCCCGCTTTTTTATATAGTTTACCATCAATATAGTGTACCACCTAATAAACATATTGTATCTTGTCCGGTAGAGAGTACCTTATTACCATAAATCCCGAAATTTATATCAATAAAAGCTAGTTGAGTAAAATCCATCTCATTCCAAGCTATTTTTATAGTCTAATGTCTATTTTTTTAATAATATAAACTCTCCCAAGAAAACTGCCAGTGTAATAATGTTTAAGGAGTTATAATTCTCCTGGAACACTATTACACACTATGGCCAAATAAAATTCGCGTAATTAATGGAAGGTTAGAGTGTCGTTTATACCCAAGGTAAAAAAATCTCTTCCAAAATGGAAATGAAATATTTACGATATATTTACTGAAAGGAAATACTACACCAACGATCTTTGGAGTATAAACAATCTACACTCACTGATTTCTTGGATATGGAAGGTGCTCTGACTTGTTGTGGCATGATGACATACGATTACAGGTGGTATCAGCATTTATACTAAGCATATGCTAAAAGCTTACTTGCCGGATAATGGATAATAAGATATGTAGCCAAGCTAATGCTAAACCTAAAAATATCGTAATTAAAAATGGGACATTTTGCATAGATATGGCTATGCATACATGCCCGCCCCCCAAATGTCCTTAATGACCTGACTATATCTTCTACTACCAATTTAAATAAACTCAAAATGAAAATGGATGCCGCATCGAATCGCCATAACTCTCATACATTCGGATATGGGAGTCTCTCAGATAAAAAATTGCAAATAAAATATCGGCTACTGGAATCCTGAACTAAACTTCAAAGGAATTTGAAGAATTATGTTTCTTCAAAGTAAAGCATCGAAAAAACATTGGGACCCACTCATGGACTTTTGTTTTGAATACATACATCGATGGCTCCAAATTAATTGCATTAGACATTAAGTTTATTACCATTTCGAGTTCATATGTTGTAAATCATTCTCATTATATTCATTTATAATTATGAGGAATATTTTAGGTTTATTTATTTCATTAGTTGGTTTATTGTGTTTCTTGACATAAAAGAATATTTTCGATACTCTTGACTTAAGTCACTTGTATTTATTGACTGTTTTTTCTAATTTGAAAAATTTCGATATGTTATCATTCACTTGATCTTTCCATCGAATTCGATCTTTCCATCGAATCAGTAGATTCGCTATTATATGCCTTTTGAAGTGGGGCATCATCATCATCGCTATAGCTCGATATGTCTAGGTATATCGATGTCCGTGTATAGATGGTATAACTCGAGGTTCCGTCGACGCAGATCGGCCAGTAGGTCTTTCAGAGTTTTTCTCTCAAACATTCCAGGAGTTGCATCGACTGCTTGTGCAAGTACCCTTGTTTCAGATCCATACAACAGATAGTTGGTCGATGGCATAACTCCGTTATATTCAGGTGCACTCTTGTTTGCGCTGCAGTTGTTGCTCCGGACACCATTGTCTCTTTTCCGTGGGTTCAAGCTCCATGGTTGTCTATGGGTTGCTTTGCTTTTAAATGTCGCTTCATATTTTTTGACACCCTCCAGCTATACGCAAAACACGTAAAACATTAAGGGGACCCCCCCATTCTCGGGGTCAAAATTTTTGTTGACTTAATTCCAATCTACATTAATTCAAGAATGTCCCTGCAAAATTTCAAGTGAAAATCTCAAGAACTCTTGAAGATATAGCCAATTTATTGTGTCAGCATCAAGTGACGGCTGAAGGGCTTCTCAAACTTTAAACGCGTTTTTCTCTAAACATTTTTTTGCGAATGGCGGGCACGATAACTCAAAAACTAATAACCCAATCGATTTCAAATTTTTACACGTTTCTCTGTGAGTGTATAGCTATCGTATGAACTGTGAAAATCTTCCTTATTTTTTACCTAGGTTTTTGGTAAAAAATGGGCGATTTTCCAAAAATATTTTTTCAAAGGTCTGCCCTTTTGTTAATTTTAGAGCGAAGTCAATAATCCTAGTTCATACGAGAGCCAGACATGTACTCTTTCTAACACCGTTGGAATTTTCGGATTCCGATGTTCCAGTGAGGAGTTATCATGCCCGCCATCAAAAATAAGGACTTTTCTTTGATCACAAAAAACAACAACAAAACAACAACAAACATTTTTTGTAAATTATTTTTCTTTCTTTTTAAATCTTCAAATATATATGTGCAAAGTTACAAACCTTAACATGCATTGGTATTCATTTACCAGCCCATTTAAAATCTTAAAAATAAAAAATCGAGAATGGGGGGGGTTCCCTTAAGTGAACGACAATAACAAAAACTGAACTATGGGTATCATGTGCTGTTTGGTGTACAGTGTGTCATTTCTGTTTACCTTTACATATTGTATGACCTTTCCCAGCAGGATGTTAAAAAAATCACACGATAAACTGTCACCTTGTCTGAACCCACATTCGGTATTGAAGGACTCCGATAGGTCCTTCCCCACTTTAGCAGCTAGCTTTGTGCCAGTTAAGGTGGATTGTGTCGATGTGATCTTCGTAGGTTTTTTTTTCCAGGAATTTTGGCAGTGTGAAAATCTGGTGGGTTCGCCAGGTCAAAAGCCGTATACATAATATCTAGTAATATAATTGATCATAGGCTTCAGTCGTTCACACATCACTCCAGATTGGCCTTTATATGCGATGGGAAGGATACTAATTCCTCTATAGTTGGCCTCATTTTGTTCACGGGACACAGTATGCTGAGATTCCACTCATTGGATATGAATTATTCTAGCCAAATTGTACTATTTAGTTTGTGTATGCTCCGGATCAGTATCTGACCACCGATCTTAAATATTTCGGTTGGTAGCCTATCGGCATCTACTGCTTTATTAATCTTCAGCCGATTAATTGCTATTCTGACATCATCTTCTATTTGATGTTTTACTCATTGGTTACATTACAACACTCCCGATCGTACCATGGATCTCTTGATGGCGGTCCTTGGTAACCAAGTGTTGCTTTTGCTCATTTTGTAGGGAGTCGGAAATTCTTTGCCATTCTGCTTCTATATTACTATCGGGACAAGGATTACTTTCGTCTAGAGTTAGATAAGTTGATCGGACTGTTAAAATAATCGGGAATAATTAACGTTAGAGTTGTGTCGTTCTGGAACTCTTCTGAGAAAGGAAAAATCGGCACTATGTCCCGATTTTGAATTCATATAGTTATATTAATTGATTTCTTTTCTTTTTCTTATATCGTATCTTTATTTCCACATTTCTTTCTCGTTTGTTTTTGAGACTTTCCGGAATCGGCTAGTTTATTGGATACATTTCGAAACTAGTTCAGGTCGTTAGTTCATATTTTTTTTTTAGTCTAGGAAAGGAACTTTTAAGGAAATCAATAAAGAACTATTCTTACTATGAAAAGTTTAGGTGTACTTTTGTATAGGGAATTCTATAAGAAAAATTTAGTTTATTCATAACTTTAGAATGTAGGAAAATTTTTAAATATATTTCTTTATATATCAATATGTTTAACAATCGTTTTGTAAAAATTGTCGAATAACACATTGCATGGTAGATTGCATTTATTTGAAATTGGAAAAAATCAATCACTGATACACTCGAGCAAAATTACAACGAATACTATTCTGAGAAATAATCTCTAGTATAATAAAATTTCTAAACAACAATTTGTATTGAATTTTACAATGCTAAAATTGTAATTACATAAACATATGCCATCCGATTAGTTCGTTGTAATTGTGTTCAAGTGTGTTCCACATATTAAAACATACCCACTAAAATTTCCGATTACATCTACGACCAGGAATTATACGTAACAGGAATTTTCCAAGATATTAAGGAATTATTTCTAGGCGGGAGCCCATTTTGAGCATTTCGCTGAGGATGCTCATAATTTCCTAACATCTAATCTGAATAAATTGAGAATAAAATGTCTCCCAAACCTAGAAGCAATTTCTCAACATCCTTCTTCATACGCATAATTCGTGATCGACCTAGTACATTTATTTTCATTTGTTACTTTTTATTTTAATTTTTTTTCGTTTTGTTCTGCATTTGAAATTCGAACTAACAAAAACGTATGTCCATAATAACGTTTAGATATCACTCACTCACCCACGTCACGTCACGTACATTTATCACAACAAAAAAACAAGAAGACAAACGTTTGCATCACAAATAGTTTTGTTTTGTTTACTATCGATAATCGATAACAAAAATATAAATAAAAAAATTAAGCAATGAATTTTTCAATTAGATGCAAATTAAAACCAAACATTCTCAACAACAATCAGTCAAGTTTCAAACCAACAGCAACAAAAAACACCCTTCTTCTTTTCACGATAGTTAACCAATCAACCAACAAACAAAAATTAATCAAATCAAAACAATCGATACGTGAAATCGTTTTCATGTAGATGCCATTAAACTCGCTCATTCGTTACCATCTTTCGTCTTTATTTTCGTTCTTCTCCCCCCGTTTTTTTCTCTTGCCTATTTCGATGATACTAACCAATCAGGTGATGAATCAGATTCGGGACCAGGACGTAAGGGGAATCTTGCCACACCGCCCAACAAGGAGAAGCGCAAGCCATTCTTCAAGAAACAGGAGACCGCCTCGCCCTACGATGTCGTGCCATCGATGCGTCCCGTAGTCTTAGTGGGTCCAAGCTTAAAGGGTTACGAAGTAACCGATATGATGCAAAAAGCTTTATTTGACTTCCTGAAGCACCGGTTCAAGGGTCGGATCATCATCACCCGTGTCATGGCCGATATTTCACTGGCCAAACGTTCTATCATGAATAATCCTTCGAAACGGGCGATAATGGAACGATCCAGCAGCCGATCTGATTGTTTGAGCAAAGTACAGGAGGAGATAGAACGAATATTCGAACTGGCCCGGACGTTACAATTAGTAGTACTCGATTGTGATACAATCAATCATCCGTCACAACTAGCAAAAACTTCATTAGCACCAACCGTAGTTTATCTTAAAATTAGTAGTAGTAAGGTAAGTACATAAGGGTCCACACGCCAGCCGAATGGGAATGCGCCCCCTTTCGGTCCAACTGTATTGCCCTAATAATGCTTAACATTGTAGTTGTGCTAAAAATAATAATTTTAACTTTATTATCATTATTATTGTTGTTGTTGTCCGACAACGCATCCAAAAGGTTTTACAGCGTTTAATCAAATCACGTGGAAAGTCACAGGCCAAAAATCTTTCCGTACAAATGGTAGCCGCTGAGAAATTGGCTCAATGTCCACCGGAAATGTTTGATGTTATCCTAGATGAAAATCAATTAGAAGATGCCTGTGAACATATTGCTGAATATTTAGAGGTAAGTTGGAAAAAACGCAAAATATTTAGTTAATTTCTTGATATGTTTCAACATAAATAAAACATATAATACAAAAAATGTTAACTGGGGCAGAAAAATAATTTCGTGATTCCTCGAAAAATTGAAGATATAAAGGTGATTCTTTGCGGAACAAACTACTTTATTAGAACTATTCAAGAAAACCAAGAAAAACATTCATATAGTTTCTTTAGTTAATCTAGTACCTTTTATTATTTAGTTATTTTATTTTATTCCCATATTCGATACTATATTCAGAGTTCCTTTCCAGATCAGGAACGAGAAAAATCGTTCCGATCTGCCCCCACTATTTAAGTGATTGTGTATTGTATATGTACTACGAGGAACTATGTCGATGATGGTTTTGTGTATTGAAAATGTGGAAACATTAAAACCAGTATTTACAATATCCCGTCGATCGGAAAGGCATCGCATCTTGTATGCGATCTGAATCGTTTTAAATCAATCTATTTGATATAAGGGAACCCCCCCCCCCCCTCTCACAATTTTTTATTTTTAAGATTTTAAATGGGCTGGTAAATGAATACCAATGCTTGTTAAGGTTTGTAACTTGGCACATATATATTTGAAGATTTAAAAAGGAAGAAAAATAATTTACCAAAATTTATTGTTGTTGTTTTGTTGTTATTTTTTGGGTTCAACGAAAAGTCCATCTTTTCGATGGCGGGCATGATAACTCCTCACTGGAACATCGGAATCCGAAAATTCCAACTGTGTTAGAAAGAGGACATGTCTGGCTCTCGTATGAACTAGGATTATTGACTTCGCACAACAATTAACAAAATGGCGGAACTTTGAAAATTTTTTTATGGAAAATCACCTATTTTTTTACCACAAACTAAGTTAAAAAATAAGGAAGACCTTCACCGATTGGCTTTATCCTAGTTCATACGAGAGCTACACACTCCCAGAGAAACGTGTCAAAATTTGAAACCGATTGGATTATTAGTTTTTGAGTTATCGTGCCCGCCATTCGTTTTGAGAAAAACACGTTTAAGGTTTGAGAAGCCCTTTAGCCGTCACTTGATGCAGACACAATAAATCGGCTATATCTTCAAGAGTTCTTGAGATTTTCACTTGAAATTTTGTAGGAACATTCTAGAATTAGAATAGATTCGAATTAAATCAAAAAAAATTTGACACCGGGAATGTGGGGGGTCCCCTTAAGTCGATTTTTGACTTTTAACGATTAAAGCAAAATCGTTTAAAATTTTTATTTTTTATAAGAATTTTATAAGAATTGTCAACAGATGAAATATAGTTCTGGAATGTGTAGTTTTTATGCTATTTCTGCTTTGTGATAATAAACCAAATATTTACGAAGAAAATCGAAAGTCGATCTTGAGAAGTCAATTTTGCGATTTTCTTAAAGATCAAAAGTCGATTTTTACACTTTCAACACAAAATGTCGGTAAGTCAATTTCTTATCCCTAGTGCTGCTGGACGAAGGAGACAGCACCCAAAGATTGGCGGCAGCTATGCACAGCAACAGACCGATGTTTTGTTTTAAAGTCAAGGGTTCGTTTTTCAAACTCACTCGACTAGACAGCAGCTACTTCACTGATAGTCGAGGATTCGTTTCGCAACCCCTCTCGACTTGGCAGCAAACTACAACAGCTTCTCCAGCAAAGGTATAATTTTTCAACCCCACTTGACTACACACCCATCTACAGAAGACTGCCCCGATTATCCTCAAATCACTTCTTTTTATACCCTTCACCACACTGTGGTACAAAGACATAAGTGCATATGTTTGTAACAGGCAAAAGGAAAAGAAGAAAGACTCGTGGTTCCTTTTGAGAATATGCATAGAATCATTTTCTGAGTCGATTTACGCATGTCCGTCTGTCCGTCCGTTAAAATCGGTTCAGATTTAGATATAGCTCCCATACATAGTTTCGTCCGATTTTATGTGAATGATGCACCAAACTTCCAATATTTGTCCGATTGGGACAACATTTTGCACATAGTACTGATTTAGGTCCAGAGTGATGTCTGCGAAGTTTAGTTAAAATCAGTTCAGATTTAGATATAGCTCCCATATATAGTTTCGTCCGATTTTATGTGAATGATGCACCAAACCTCTAATATTTGACCGATTGGCACAACATTTTGCACAAAGTACTGAATTAGATCCAGACTGATGTCGCGAAGTTTTGTTGAAATCGGTTCAGATTTAGATATAGCTCCCAAATATAGTTTCGTCCGATTTTTTGTGAATGATGCACCAAATTTCCAATATTTGTCCAATTGAGACAAACTTTTGCACATAATACTGAATCATATTCAGATTGATGTCTGCGAAGATTATTTTAAAATCGGTTCAGATTTAGATATAGCTCCCATATATATTGTTTCGACAGATTTTATGTGAATGATGCACCAAACTCCCAATATTTGTCCGATTGGGAAAAAATTCTGCACAGAGTACTGAATTATGTGCATACTGATGTCTGTGAAGTTTTGTTAAAATCGGTTTAGGTTTTGACATAGCTCCCATAAATAGTTTCGTCCGATTTTTTGTGAATGATACACCAAACTCCCAATATTTGTCCGATTGGGACAAAATTTTACACAGAGTATTGCATTAGACCCAGACTGATGTCCGCGAAGTTTTTTTCTCAATCGGTTCAGATTTAGATATAGCTCCTATATATAGTTTCTCAATGGTCCTCCAAAGATCCTATGACGGTTCTATCTACAGGATATTGTAGATATTAACATGTACCCAAAGTGGTGAAGGGTATCATATGAACTTTCCTTACTGGTTATACCTGCTGGTGGCGGCTGTTAACCCGATGTCCGCTTATTCAATTTTCATCGCAGTAATATTTTTTAAGTATAGACCGTTGTCGCTAGGGGTTCTCAACAATGTAATTGCTGATAAGTTCCTTTTATGACCGAAAGGGGACCTTTTGGCCGTTACCTTTAAACTAAATACCTTAAAATCTTAGATGTCAAATTAATTTCAATAAAAGTTTGTGACCAAACGAGTATCGACGACTTTTGGTCATTGCAGTATTATCCTCGTCTCCCTTAAACGTTAAATAAATAATAATAATATACTCCACATTTAAAATGCGGAACTTACTGAGAGCAAATTTGCAGTTGATATCACTTCAAGGGAAATGTTACGGAAATATGGATCTTCTCCTAATATATATTTCGGTCAAATTTAATATAACATTTTCATTATAATTTTGTATACTTTAAATAATTTATCAAATATTTCTTTTCTTTACTACTTAGACCTATTGGAAAGCCACACATCCAGAAATAACAACGGCTCAATCCATACCTAGACCAATACCTCAGGAAGCTTCACCTACCACAGATCAGGCCCGTTTGGGTCCAACGCCACCAGGTAAGTTATGTGACAAAAGCACAACTATTGCATAGATATTTTTTAATTTATTTTTCTGACTTCATACCATTTAAGTCGTCCATAACTAATGAGAATAAGAAATAATAAAAGTTTAGGCATTATAAAAGAAAAACAACAACAAAAAATATTATAAAATTCCAAAAAAATAGGTTAACAAAATCACTCAACCACCTTCGCTCTATCACACGAAAAAAATTAAATACATATTCCATTAATTTTAAGTTTAATTTATTTATTTATCGTATAGAAATAAATATATACTGACACTTTTTTAACAAATTTTTGTAAATTATGTTTATTCTACTTTTTTATTGTTTATTTTTATTAATTGAAAAAAAAAACTATATAACAATGTGTAAAACAAAATAAAACCATACCAAACCAAATACAATCGAAACAATCCAACTCGTTCTCTCTTTATTTTTTTATAAAATTTCAAATCTCGAATCAATACAATGCGCCCTCGGATGATTTTTTTTTTTTTTTTTGAAAATTCGTTAGTTGATGGGGGCGAAGATGAACGTGAATATCGCATGGGCTCAATAGAACGTGAGGGAAGTCGCGATCGTGACATAACAAGTCGTGAACGCGAACGCGACGAAGATTATGAACGCGACTATTGGGACAATGAATTCACAAAAGGACGTAGAACACCGCGCGAACGTCAACGCGATCTCGAATGGGAACGTGAACGGGCCCGCGAATGGGAGAGAGAACGAGAAAGAGATTGGGATAGAGAATTCGATTGGGACCAAGGTAAACATAACAATAATAACTGAATTTCTTACACATATTCTTTTTTGGAACATCTTTTAAACCATCACAAAACATATACGTTCAAAAACAAATTTTGGATAACTTTTTTTTAATTTGCCTAAAAAATTAATACGAATTCAATGAAAAAATTTTAAAATTACTGATTGTTTAATGCTTTTGATTGACAAATTGGCAGATAAACCTTTTCTATTTCAGCGTCTGTTTTTGTACTTTGATTGAAATTTTTCGACGAATGCAGGTCGATTTCAGGTTACAAATTTTTAATAGTGAAAGATGAAACACTTAATGGGACAAAAAATGCAACAGAGATAAATGGTGGCTTAGTAAACTTATTCCTATACTTATCCGGTTCGCCAATACGCCAATTCCGTCCCTTACTTAGGAACTTCACGTATGCGGAATTTCCAAAATTTCAAGTCGCAATATAGAAGCAATTGCAGAGACGGATGTATCCATATGACGATTGTGGATTATTTACATCAGGAGACAAGAATTCTGTCCTCGGATGATGGATGATCAGTCATCCTCAGCAGGGTTCGCATGATACGTGTCATTTATTTATTGCTTAGCTCAATCCATATACCTTTGGTCCATTGATATGTGGTTGCATCGGTCAGGATGGTCAGTCATTGATGAGAATTGAAGACATCTATCAAAAATGCAAGCAAGGTTCGCATGATAGGTGTCATTTATTTTTTTACTCAGCTCGACTCATTGACCTTTGATCCACTGATCTGTGGCTTCGACTAATAGAAGTGACAGACTTTTTACAGATCCGAATTTAATATATAATATGTACACACCCAACCCCTTCCCGACTAATACCAGTATCTACGCAGTTCCATGCACATAACCACAGTTGTTACATGTCTGCGCCCTATGTAAAGTCCAAAAGTTATTCTCATAATTTTGCTATAGGGGTTTGAAGTGGGATCTTGCTTGATCATTGTGTGCCAAGTCAGGGCAAATCAATCCCAATTTTTTCTTGAATTATGAGCACACGGATAGTTCATAGAATGACTCCCTTATAACTTCCTATAATTAAGATTACTATTACGAGTGGGATTCGAATCCCATTAAAGAAGGAAGGAATATTTGATATCGATTTTCGTATATTTGCAAAAAGTGGGTTACAACCTCCTGGCATTATAATAACCCACCTTGGTACAGCAATGATGGCAAATAGCGCCACCCGGAGGAAAATGGCAAAACTAAATTAGTAAGAACCACAACCTCCGCTCACAATTTAATGAGGCGTTTGCACTATGTAGATGTAGATGGTTTTCGAATATTTGAAAAAGGATTGCTACATCCCGTTTGCATTCATTCGATGGCCCCTGACTTTTTAATAACCAACCACCGCATCAATACATTAAGAAAATACAAAATAGGAATGACATTCAGAGGCGAATTTCAATCCTAATTAAGCAAGGACACCAATCAGTGTATCCAATTAAAGAATGGGTTGTTTCTAGGCAACCAAAGATGTCAGTCTCTTCACATCGGACAGGTTGCAGCAGACCAATTATGGGTATCCTCCATAACGATCCACGAAACTAACACAATTACTAATCGAGTATGATGCTTTGCGGAAGCCCTTAGTATCCAAGAGTAGCAACAGGAGATAACAGGTAGGCTCACACTGACCTGCCTTTTTTGAAAACGATGTTTGTATTTTGGTGTACCGGGATGATACATGGGTTTTAGTTGAAATTAGATTGCAGGCTTATTGGTCGATAATTCTTAGCTGATATTGTGCCATCCAGAGGATAACGGAGACACTGAATTAGCAAGGATACCAGCCGAAGAAATTCACCCAATGCAATGAAACGTTGTTTCTAAGCAACAAGAGATGGCAGCCTCATCATGGAACCATATTGTTTGTATTTTAGCCTATTATTGAGCATTTTGACCTATTTTGCCTTTTGGACTAAGAGCTCCATTGTGTCAAGTAGAAATGAGGTTAGCTGTTATCTTGTTCGGCTTAGGTATTCAAGGTACACTTGTATCCTGCCAAATATTCGTAGTGTATATAAGACTTAGGTGACGACTAAGTCTGGTGAAAACTCCTCATGGCATCTCTTCAACCATCCTAGACGACATATAAAGTACTATCCAGCGTGCTGTGTGAACGACTGAAGCCAATGGTCAATGATATTATTGGATCTTATCAATGCGGCTTCAGACCTGGCAAATCCACTATAGACCAGATTTTCACACTGCGCCAAATCCTGGAAAAGACCCACAAAAAACAAATCGACACATTCCACATATTCGTTGACTTTAAATCCGAATTCGACAGCCCTATTCGTTCAAAGGTGTTTAAAGCCATGTCTGCGTTCGGCATTTCTGCTAGTTCTTCAATACTGAACGAGGTTCCAGACAAGGTGATAGTTTCTCGTTTGAACTTTTTAACATCCAGCTGGAAAAGGTCATACGAGATGTGAAGGCACATGTTAGTCGCATATGCCGATGACATCGAACATTGCAAGCGGCAACAGCCACCTTTGAACCTCCCGAGTATAACAAGTTGATGGTTTCAACGAGCAAGACGTCCAGAAAACTCGGACCAACTGTGGAACTTAAAAACTACAGCTTTGAGGTATCAACGATTTTATATACCTCGGTATCGCCGTAAATGAAACATATGACATCAGTTATGGAATTCGGAGAAGGGTAGTGTTGGCCAACAGATGCTATTATGGTCGGATTAAGCAATTTAAGAACATGGCTACCTCTCGCTAGACCAATCTCACACTCTACAAGGCGCTGATACTACCCATGCTGTGTGTGGATCTGTAGATTATGCAGCTCTTGGAGCGTTTGAGAGATCTGCGTCGACGGTGAATATCGCCGCCGAATGAACCATTTTGTGGGAATGGATGAGGACGCCTCAGTTCAAAAGGCATATAAAAGAGAGCCAAGTTATAGTTCACGCAGAAGGGAAAGGTCACGAATTCGATTGAAAGACCAATTTTTTATTCAGACCCTCCTAATCGAAGTACAAAAACAGACAATTAAATTTATGTTCAAAATCTTCATTTGATTTATTTTTTAACATTTTAATTATATTTCTTACAATGATTTAACCATACATATATATAAAAGTGTTTATAATTAATTTAAATACTATATATACAGTTAATACAAATACTAAAGTATTGTATATTTTAATATTAATACAATTTATATTAGAAAGGCTTTTTGTTGTATCAGAGTTATATACTAGAAACTCCCCTAAGAAATTTTGTTAAACTCCCATTTTTTCAATTCCCCCATCCAAAAAATATTAAACATAAATATTTATGTGCATATTTTAGATGTTTTATTAAAAAAAATCAAACACATAAAATGTAAAAAGCTTATAACGAATATTTTGATTATTTTTGTTATATTTGTTGTTAATTATTTTGTATATTTTTGTTGTTAATTTGGATATTTTGATTTTATTTTTTTATAGCTTTTACATATCCTGATACATTTTCGACTTTTAGTTAAATAGAAACGAAAAATTGATTCAATTGTAAACGAAAAAAAATAATTCAAAATTTAATATAAATCCGATAAAATAAAAATATCTCAAACAAAATTACTTCATGCTAATTACTAAATAAAAGACAACCCTGTATTTTTTAAAAAAAAAAAAAAAAAAAATAATAATAATAATAAACAATCGATTTTCCAAACAAAATTTTCTACAACACCAAAAATGAAGCTGTCACCCATATATTTTGTTACAAGATCATGCCTTCCCACCCTTCGAAAAATGAGTATGATATTATTTTTTGAATTTTGATCTTAAATAGAAACATGTCTAAAAATGTCCGTTTAACACAATGTCGATAACACCGTACTAAAATACAGAGTTGTATCTTAACGATAATGATGATGATAATTATGTTGTTGTGAAGTAAGCGTACTTAACAATATAGTCGTATTTTTTAATAATCTACATGAAGAACTAACTCTATGTAGTCATTATTACAATTATTATTTGTATTTATTGTGGTATTTTTTATTTGGTATCTGTGCTTCATTTTACTAATTTTGAATATTTTAGTTGTCGTCAGTATTTATTTGTAATTTGTTTTTTGTATTAAACTCAACTCAACATCAGTTTTATATGTTCATTGAAACATTTCGTAAGACTTAATGTGAATACTTCATAGTATTCGGTTTGCCTATTTTTTTATAAATATATTAATAAAGGGATTTCCAATAAGGACTTCATAATATATATGGGACCGTCAGCATCCTGTTGAAACCATATGCCATCCAGATCCATAGCTTCTAATTCCCGTTCCAAATAATACCAGAGCATGGTGAAGTAGTGTTGTCCATTTATGGTACCATTGCCATCGTCGAAGTCGTTTTCGAGCAACTTTTTTATACCCTCAACAATGCACTATAGGTAATTTGCCCTGTTTTTAGGAAAAAATTAATAACAGCGGTTTTAAACGATTTTTTGACTTTTTAAATGATGTATATGTACAAGAAAGAGAAAACGCAGATTTCTACAGTAAAAACCGGATATAACGAACAACGGTTATAAGCAACTACACATATAACGAACAAAGCTAATACTTTTCAGATATTTTCATTAGTTGTTTTATACACAACAAACGATTGAAAACGATTAGAGTAGTAATTTAATAAAATTTCGACCCCGCGATTAAATTTTTAAAGGAATAATTATTACAATGTCGTATGTTTTTGCAGAATGCATTAATAACTATTAATACAGTACCCACTAATACTCTATAAGGACATTAATATGTAAAAGTGAGATAAAACCATGCTTACTACAGTCGAACACGATTATAGTAAACACTGGATATACTGAACAAATTTTTTTATATGCCACTTTTTTATTTTTAATCAATCCTGAAAAAAGTAAAAAAGTAAATGTTTGATGGTTTATATTCTAAGGGGGAACTCAACCCCGCCATTTTCTGTTCTCCACTATTTAGATTTTTTTT